TTTTTTTTTTTTGTTTATAGGTATGGAATTGAGGGCCAAACCTAATGCAATACGTAAGAGGGACAAAGATAATTTGTTTTACGACTCAGTGGCTTGTGCGATGGGTTATATCACTCTCTATTATGCTAAGTACGTACACAAAAAGCCATGTTTTACTTCATTTATGACAGGTAAAAAATGGATGCATGAAATATTGAATGGACATGAAAAACGTTGTTTTCACATGTTTCGAATGTCCAAGAGCACATTTAGAGCATTGGTCATAGACTTAGAAAATAAGTATAGGTTGCACCCTTCAGAAAGAGCATCAACTTTAGAGAGAATATTTATATTTATTCAAAGTATATGAGCCTCAAACCGTGAATCCCAAGAGAGATTTCAGCATTCTGGTGAAACTATAAGTAAAATTTTAAAGAAGTTATAAATTCCATGGATGGCTTGTCAAGGGATATAATAAGACCTAGGAATTCTTAGTTCAAAGAAGTCCCGTTGCAAATTGCCAATGATACTCGATATATGCCACATTTTAAGGTATTTTACTTATTACATGTTATCTTTGTGCTTACATTAGAAATAAATAATAGTCATCTAGAAAATAATATTTTTTTCTATTAGAACTGCATTGAGCTATTGATGTTACACATATAGACGTACGTAAAAAGTAAATAGTATCCCTTTCCCAACCAGTAAGAAAGTACATAAAAAGTAAATATAAAAAAAATATTTCAATAATCAAAGTAGCTTGAGTACTCAGTTGGCTATATCAATTTTTATTTCAAAACGTATGATTTATTTAATTGTTTTCTAATTTTATAACCCTAAATTTGTATTTGAGAATTTTCAAATTGATGTAATTTTTAATTTAAGGCTTTCATGAGTTTGATAATAGTATCCTAAATGTTATTTCTTATTTGTTGTCATTTTTTTGTTCTTTTATGAAATATACGGTGCCCCTACTATTAAATGTCTGTGTCCGCCCCTGCCTAAAAGAGAAGGGTATTTGACACCTTACCATAAGACAAGATATCATCAAACAGAGTTTCAGGGAGCAAATCTAAGAGGGTCTCAAAAAATTTTCAATCGAGCTCATTTATGCTTACGGAGTTGTATTGACAGAGCTTTTGGCATTTTAAAGGCGCGCTAGAAGATATTAGTTAAATTACCAAAATATTCACCTCAAGATCAAAATAGAATAATTTGCTCAACATTTGCATTGCCTAATTACATTAGAATATGTTCTTATTCAGCATTTATGATCATTGATAAAAGTATAAATTTTATCCTCCAAGTGTTAGCGGATGTTGGCCATATTTCCTGGCAAGAGGTCTCGTACACAAGTACTAAAGAGATGACAAAAGTTCGAAATGATATTACCGCTAGTTTGATGGCAACTAGACAACCTCGCCGTGATGCTTGATCATTTGAATTATTTGTTTGAATAGACATGATTATGAAATTTTTGTACTTTCAAATGCTTGAAAACTTTGTAATTATGCTCGTGAAATCATGTACTTGAATTTTTTTAATTTGCAATATTTATTTTACAATCTATATTGGTTTATGGTGCTAATAATAAGAGAAAATATCTATTTTCACCCCGTTTTGAAGTCTTAATAAGTTTTTCACACCGCCCAATAAAAAGCTAAGTTTTTCACCCCAGAAAGTGCGAAGGTTATGCGAAAACCGTCGCATATTCATCGCATAACTGTCCATATGCGAAGGATATGCGAAAAACTGTCGCATAACTGTCGCATATCAATTGCATAATTGTGCAAAGGCATTGTGCGATAAATATGCGACAGTTATGCAATTGATATGCGACAGTTATGCGACAGTTATGCGAAAAACTGTCGCATAACTGTCGCATATCAATTGCATAATTGTGCGAAGGCATTGTGCGATAAATATGCGACAGTTATGCAATTGATATGCGACAGTTATGCGACAGTTTTTCGCATAACCTTCGCATATGGACAAATATGCGATGAATATGCGACAGTTTTCGCATAACCTTCGCACTTTCTGGGGTGAAAAACTTAGCTTTTTATTGGGCGGTGTGAAAAACTTAATGTGTCTTTGTTATGGGGTGAAAAAGATTTTTTCCCTAATAATAATATGTCATCCATATGGTTAATTTATCTAGAAAAATGTAAAATTCATAACTTCTTCATCAAGTGTTAGTAAATTTTAAAAAAAAAAATATATATATATATATATATATATATTTATAAATTACCAACTAAAAAATATTAAATTTTTTAATATATTATTATTAAAAGAATACACCCTAAATAATAAAATGTCCTCATTGGACATTTTGCAATGTCAAGCAGCTATAAGCTTTCAGCTATTTACCAAACATTTATTTAAAACTCACTAATGCAATCCGCTAGTCAAATCAGCTAATATAATCCGTTATCTGCTGATAGAATACGTTATCCGATGTCCGTTGATCGCCAAACAAGACCTGCAATTTTTTTATTTTTTTTTATTCGTGTGGTAAACATAAAATTTTCCCTATAAGGAATTAAAAATGAAATACATGCAGGATTAATTAATCAAGCCTGTTCCTTAATTCCAACCAAACCCACCCTTAATGTAATTTTACTCTACAAAACGACTTGAGATGGCGGCAAGAGCATTTAATACTCGATTGCATAGAGAAAGGCAATTAATTAATACTTGAACACAACACATATGGTAACCAAATCTTTCTTGACCGTTGCAATATCTCTACCTTCCAAATTCCACCCCTATTAGATTTTCATCTCTATATATAAACACATATAATATCTTTCACAAATATTACATATCTAATTGCCTGCAAGAACATCATCAACCCAAAAGCCACAAGGTACGTAATTCCTCTCTTGTTGGGTTTTATTTGAATCTCTCTGAATTTGCTGCATATAGTTAGTTATTCATCTTTCTAATTCTATTGGCACATTATACTTTCTGCAGATCCTCCCACATCGTACACCCCCAATTTAAGGAACAAAACAAAAGAAACCTACCTACCCTTCTTACATTGTTTAAGCAAACATGGGACGAGGAAAGGCGCGGTTGCGTTTCATCGCCGACACGAAGAAACGGTCCGAGGAGTTCGAAAAGAGAAAGAAAGCCCTGGAGAAGTCGGCTTCCGAGCTCTCCACTCTCTGTGGAGTCGACGTGGGCATGATCATCTACGGGCCCGTCCACAGTAAGGACTATTTAGACAGTCCCGCAATGTGGCCGAGAAACAGCCCGGAAGTCCTCGAGGGCCTGATCGAGTCCTACAAGTCGACACTAGGCTACGAGGGCCGGCCAAAAGAGTACGGCCTATCTGATTTCTTCACGGAGAAGGCGGCTAAAGCGGAGGAAGAGCTGAAGAAGCTGCGGGGATTGAGGTACCCGATGCCCCACGAGGACAGCTTTAACTGCATGCCACTGGAGGATATTGAACAGTTGTGTGGGGTGCTAGGGGCCAAGATTGAGGCCGTCAGGGGGAGGATTAACGAGATGAAAGGGTCTGCCGGGTGGAATTACGAGCAAAATACCGGGGAATTTGACGGTTTTGGCTTGCGGGCTGATGATCGGCTTATGATGATGATGATGAACAATGGCAGTGGATTGGGCATGGGGCAGGGGCAGGGGCAGTATGGTAATTATGGCCTTGGGTTTGTTGGTGTTGGGGTCCAAAATGGTGGTCTGTTGACCGGGATTGATGGGTGGGGTGTGATGAGTAATAATGGTGTATATGGGCTTCAAGGGCATTTTGGGAATTACACTTTTGATCTGGGGGCAGGCGTGCCGATGGTTTCGTATCCGGTGCCGAGCGATGAGCCGCTGGTTCCAACGGCTTATCTTGTTCCGGGAGTTGGGGCAATGACACAGTAGTAAATTGGGATGTTCAGATTTGAGGGAGTGTCGATATGAGCAACTTATTTTGGGGAACAATAGTTAATCGATTTTAGACGGTGATTGAGTTGTTTTTTTTTTATTTCATTTCATAACTTGAATTGATGTTTGGATGTTGGTTTGTATGCGAAATTTTCTTAGCTAACTTCTGCTGTTGTTTATGGTTTCAGAAAGAACAACTGTCATGTAATGTTGGATCAGAAAACAAAGGGCTCATTTCATCATTATTTTGTGTAATATGAATGAAAAAAAAAAAAAAAATCCACGGGTAAAAGGATAGATTAAAGAAAAGAAAACATTACTGTTGATAACACAAAAAGTTATCAAACTAATTTAAGTGCTAAATAATGAATTAATTATGGAAAAAATGAGAGATTGCTCAAGAGAATGAGATGAACAATGAAATGTTTATTACTCTTTGATGTATGTTTGTTTGTATGTAATTAATTGTATGGTTCTAGAACATATTCAATACAACATATTTATACATGATACAAATGTGAAGGCAATGATTGACGTATGCTAACTAAGGTTGCAGAGGTCTGACACTGTGTCCTGAAAGGTCGCATGCATGAGGACCCGTGTCGATGCTGCTTTTGATGGTGGGACTAGTTAGACGGTCACTTTTCTAGTTATCGTTACGTGGAGGTGGTTGCCGTTCACTTTAGACGGTTGACCGACACTTCGGTTAGGTGTAAACTAGAAGATCGACACAACTCTTTTTTTTTAAACGATAGGAATCACATATGTTCAAAAACAAACAAGACTAGAAAATAGTCACTCAGCCGAATAAACAGCCAAACGGCAAAATAGAACAATTAAATCGTTGAATTTAGTTGGGTGGACTACACAGACATATGTCAAACGTAGTCTAGAACCATCCTAAAAAAACAACACAAAAACCAAAAAAACTCCAACGTGAGAATAAACAAATACACCCACAAGTGACCTAAACACAAAAACACAAAGACAAAAGACAACAACTAAGAGTCTCTCCAGCGCTGCGCCAGATTTGGCTTATTGCGCTGGAGTAGCGTGAAAATGTCCTCCAGTGTTGCGCTAGACTTTTGCGCTAGAAAGGAGTTGTGAACAGTGTTGCGCCAGATGTGGCGCAACACTGTTCACAACTCTACAATTTTTTAATTTTTTTTTGTTTATTTTCTTTTTTTTGTGTAATATTATTGGTAAATTTTGTATAATGTGTATTAGTAAATGTATTTTTTATTGTAAATAATTTGTGCAATTTATTTTTTATGCTAAATTATTTTGTGTTTTTTATTTATTGATGTATTATAAATTTTTTTGTAATTTTTTAATATTAAAATGATACCATATGAATAAAAATTTAACACACTCAAACAAGTTTATTTCATATTTACAGTCTAGACCATATATGGTTTAGGGCATATATTCACTAAGAAAATCTAGACTGTAAATATATGCCCTAAATCATATATGGTCTAGACTACATATGCCCTAAATCATTTTCCAAAATGTGAATACATAATTTTTATAATTACTATTTGGGTAATAAACATTTACATAACATTACATATTCATATATAGCAAATTATGTTAAATAAAAATAAATAAAATATATTTTTATTATTTGAGTAATTAACATTTTATATAAGATTAAATATACTTATATACCAATTTATTTGAAATAAAAATGAGTAAAAAATAATATATTTAATGTAGAGTAAAATATAAAGATAAGAGCTGGAGATGAATGTTTAACTCTACTCTAGAGTGAAGTAAAGTCTGCGCTAGAGTGGAGATAAGGGCTGGAGATGGCCTAATACAACTACAACAACCCTTCCCGTAACAAGAAGCCGAACCAAACGAACTGATAGCGACATCAACCGACATCCATCCACACGGACAGGGTTACGACCCAGCAACCCGACCAAGAAACTACAAGAGAAGGCTAACTAGGCCCGACACCAAAGACCCTACCCTCATCCAAACGGACATCCCACCTACGCCCGGAGACTTCACCCCACAACCACTCAGCCCACCGCAGGCCGAAAACTGAAAACCGGGCCGAGACCCACGACGCCGGCCATCCCCGCAGCCCAACACTAGTGCCAAAGATGACCGCGAATAAAAGGGAGGAAAACCACCACTCCAAAACCCTAGATCTGAGAAATTGAAGCCGCTTCCCACTTTTGAAGAATAGTCGGAGGACCGCCGTAGCGAAGAATCCCGAGAGTCAGCCGCCTGCCACATCGCCAAAGCACCAGAATCGCGGTGAAAACCGAGGCTAGGACGAGTGCCTCCTCCTCTCCAGCGCAGAAGCCCACCTCCAGGCGGCGATTCTTCAAGAGACGGGCCGCGAGGCCCATGGCGTCACCACCGAATGGTCGGAAATGCCCTTTGGGGAAGGGCGAATCAGATCTGACGAGGGTTTTTTTTTTTTCTTTTGAGAGGGGCG